TTTTTTTTTTTTTTTAAGAGCTCTGCTCCGGGGACTTAATGGCATATTGTAACAGGTGGGATATTGAAAGGTGTTTAATTGTCTCTCAGTGTTTAATGTGGGTAGAAATTTTTAGTGTAGAAACCATATCTTTAATTTGCAGGTCCTGTTAGGCTATGAAGGCTTTAATGGAAGTCGAAATGCAATAAACTGAGTGGATGAGTCACAGAATTAAATCTCGGCATCTGGAAGCTTTAATCGGAGCGGCAGTGTTTTAACCACATTGGAGGTAGTGGCTTTTCAAAGTACCTGGTATTTCAGTGCTGTAGAGCAGCAAAATGTTTGCAAAACTGAAGAAGAAGATAGCAGAAGAGGCAGCCATCGCTCCCAGGCCAGGAGGAGCTGCCAGGATCCCCAGGTCTGTCAGTAAGGAGTCGATTACATCCATGGGAGCAGACTCTGGAGATGACTTTGTGAGTTACCCCTCGCTTGTGTTTTGATTTCTCTACGGCATTTCTGTTATGGCTTTACAGGCAACCACCTTATGTCTGGTGTGTGAGTTGAATGTGCATTGTGGTGTCTTTGTAGGTGTGTGTCTTGATGTGTAGGTGAGTCATTGACTTGACTAAATTTAAATACTGAAGAGAAAATGTATGTTAAGTGTGGTAGTTACTGGGAGGCTTATATTCCTGTGTAAACATGAGTTACAAAACTATCATGATATGGAACGTTGTTAAACAGGCATAAAATATTGAATAAAGCTGTATTAATTTGTAAGATGCCTATTTGTAAAGTTAATTAGTGAAGCACTAGGAAAGCACGCTAGGTACTGGTTAGCCATGATCTCACTGTGGGTCTGTGTTTACCTCTTGGCTTCCTGGTCCTCTTCCTACTTGGTCACGTTGTTTATGCAACGTGTACTTGGTCTGGTTGCACTTAGTGCTGTTGTGGTTCCTCCAAGGTCTGGTTTAAAGTTTCTCATTATAAAGTGATTTAAGCAAGCTGTGTAACTCCAGGAGTGTATGGGTTAAACAAGAGCCTGTCACGTTCTGGCACCTCTGCCCCGTGGTGGCTGTCGTGCTTTTCAAAACCTGGATTAAGACACAGTGTCACACCACAGTTGGAGCCAGCAGTACCCGCTCTGTTGCAGCACATCACTTAATGATTCTGATTTGCTGTCTGCACAATGGAGAAGTTATGTAGTCGGTTGAGTTTTAACTCATTTTTTCTGAAACTTGGCTGAAATTCTAGTTCTGGTAAGCGGCAAGTTGGAACTCCCAATGTTTAAATACATTTTCAATGGAAATATTGGCCTTTTGTTCTTCTGAAATTATTTTGCACTTAATAAATTCTCACATAGAAACTTCATTTACTGTAAGACTTCTGCTTTGACCCATTCTGAAACCTGTACATTACAGCCTGATTTTCTCCCCTCTGTTGTTCTGTTACACCATCTCCTCACTGATCACTCTGAACAAACTGTTTTCAGCTACAGCTTCTTTTAAAAGCGTTGTGTTTCATGCAATGGGCCAGCGTTGCAGTGCTGACTGTTTAAGCCCTTGCTGGTTTTCTTCTTCAGCACTTTCTACCCGTTCTGCTGTGCTAGCACAACTTTCCCTTTTATGTGAAAAACGGCAGCGTTATTCCTCGGTGGGTTGGTGTTTATTATTGTAGAGTTAGTATAGGGCAGGATTACTCTTTCTAAATTCGGTGAGTTACCTGAGTGTTGTTTTTCCCAAGGCTTCTGATGGGAGCAGCTCTAGAGAGGATCTTTCATCCCAGCTGTTCAGAAGAAACGAACAAATCAGAAAACTGGAGGTCAAGCTGTCTGGTATGTCTGGCTGTCTTGATACATAGAAACCCCTGTTACTTGAGGAAATATTTTCCTTTCAACTCAAGTGTTTCAATTTATTACGAATGCATGGAGTTAGGGTTTTTTAACAATCTGTTTTTAACAGCCCTGTTCATTGTCATCTAGGTAGCATCCGGTACAACTGGTTTTGTTATAATGACAACTGACTCTTTTCTGCTGATTTCACAACACATTTATGTGATTCATTTGGACAGCTGGGATAGCTTTCTGTCCCCATGCTTCAAATAGTGTCTTTCCCCACTTTTATTTTATTTATTCTGCTTACATAATGGTTTGTTTCTCTTTGAATCTAAGCTTTCTGCTGTTGACAGTAACACAGTGCAATCCTTAAAGAAGTGAGCTTTGAAATGAAGAAAAAGCAAAGGATTCAGCATAAAACAGTCTTGAGGGGTTTTTTTCTTTCTAAGATACCTTGTTGTGTACAGCTGTGGTAAGGGCTCTGCTCTGACACTGTTTTCCATCCCTCTTCTATGGAGTGGACCGGAGGCTGAACTCTGCTGTGCTGGTGCTTCCCAGAGCTCACAGCAGGCCTTGGAAAATATGAGAGCTTGTAGCCAGCTCAGGATTACTTTGATGTATGCAGGAGACTTACCAGGCTGCTGTTCAGTTCAAGAAAATACAGGATTCAAAGATGATTTCCCATTGCAATTTAAAAGGGCAAATTGTTCACCTGCATGTGTAAGGTAAACTTAAAAGAACTTAGTACGAGAGAGAGAGGTTGTAAGCATCAAGAGACTCATGCAAGCAGCCCAGTCAGTAAATAAATCCTCCTTTCCATTGTATGTGAACTTCTCTAATGTGGGTGTGTGAGTTTTGGGGTTTTTTTTAAATCTGCCTGCCGTGTCCATTCTCCTGAGTAGGCACAGTAGTGTTAGGAGCGTGGGGTTGTTAGCCGAGGGGGAGCATCAGTCCCAGGGATCCTGTGTGACCTGAGCCGCACGGACAAGGACACAAGTGTCTGTGAATTGTCCTGTCCTCACATCCTCCAGTCAGAGACACCTTCCCTAAACAGTCAAATAGATCTCTGTTCTTGAACGAAGCAATAAGTGGGGGCAGCTCTTCATTCGCTGGTACTGCCCTCTTCTGTGTCACTCGCGCACCCAGTACAGGTCCTCTTGTTTGTACCAACCATTTACCCTATGGACAGTGCAGACCTATTTGCTTGTGTTCATTGTTATGGCCACCCAAGTTTTCCTCAGCAGGACT